TACAAATTATGTTTCTAGTTTTCTATATAAATTATACACCTTTGAATGTAATGGTCCTCGAATAATTCACAATTAAAAACCACACATACATTTATGTGTGTTTTCAATAAAAACGTTTTTAACCTATTTTTGAAGTTCTTGTGCATATTTTCATTACAAAAACCATTTTTCATAATATAATTCCATACTCTTGGACCTTTACATATAATATGTGAAAAGAGTATATTCGTTTTTGATTTATTAGCTAAAATGTTATTTAATCGTCTAGTGTTAGTATTTAAATTGAAATCGTTATTGAAAATATGCGGGAGCTTATTAGTTAGCTGCCTATACACAAAAACGGCATACATACATACATGCATACATACATACATACATACAACCAGAATTTCGGAAATGGAAATTCTAAAGAATAGGAAATGGCGAAAAAAATTTGGAGAAATGATAAAATTATAAAAAATTTTTTTATCAAAATGTCAGTTATCTATGCAATCCTACACACATGTGATTTAACAATAAAAACCGCTTGCAAACAAAGAACCGCCAAGAAATTCCATGATGTATATTTACATATATATTTATATATGATATATATTTCATGATATATATTTATATACATACACACACACACACATATATATACTAACACACACATATATATTTATACTATATAGACTAGTACACATGTGATTGAGAAATACCAACACTCAAACTCAAATTCGCTAACAAAGAAGATGACCCCGTGCTAGCAACTAAGCTAGCTGCAAAGAAATTTTATAAGAAATATATATATATATATATATATATATATATATATATATATATATATATACATGCAAATGTGTGGTTCACACACACACACACACATATGCACACTCACATACAAACAAACACACTCGTAGCCACTAGAAGTTCACATATTCCAGTCATTTATTTGGTAAATAAGAAAATCACCAGGAGATCTAAAAGAAAAATAACTTGTGCAGACCACCTTAACTAAAATGTAACTGAGTGAATGTTATATCATAAAAATAAAAAATTTCAAATGATTAATTCAAATTGGAAAATAAAAATTTTACATCGTTTCTGCAATTGTTTAAAACATTATATAATAGTAACAAAAATCAAAGTAATATCACGAGTGTGGAATAATAATAACTAATTAAGTTATACAAACATAGTTTGTATATTCATAAGCATGATACATACATACATACATACATATACATATACATAAAAACTAACATACACATACAAACATACATCATATTTGACGTAGATTAAAAATTTATAATTGAAATTCAACAAAATGTTATGCATTCACTTATCATATGTCGTATGATGTGGGGTCATTTAATTATTATTATTTATTTATTTATTGAAATAATAATAATTTTTATTATAATTATTATTATTATAATTATTATTATTATAATTATTATTAACAATATTTTTATTATTAAAAATTTTTAAGTCTTTGAGTAGATAGGTGAATAGTAATTATATTTGAAGTGGTTTCATGTCGTTATGTTATAATTTATTCTACATCGGAAATTATTTGTTTATATAAAGTACAATAATGTTTATGTTGTTGTTGCTGTTGTTGTTGCTGTTGTTGTTGTTGTTAATGTTGTTGTTGTTGTTGCGTTTGCCTTGTACATAGTTACAAGTTTCCTGCTCATATTGATTCGAATTTGCAATTCAATTCAGTTCAGTGCAGGTCTCTATCATATCATCGTTTTGTAAAAACCCTACCTGCCTAAATATCTCTTTCTCTCTGTCTCTCTCTCTATCTCTGTCTCTCTCTCTGTCTCTCTCTCTCTCTATGTGTGTCTCTCTCTTTCTCTCTGTGTCTCTCTAATTATTCTTTTCTAACCTTCTATTTCTTTTTTATCTTCCTTTTTCCAACTTATCCTTCTGCAGTTGTGTGCGTGTGTGTGTGTGTGTGTGCGTGAAAGGTTAACATACGGATAATGTATTGTCCTTTAAGTCAAACAAAGTTATGCTACTATAAAAATGAGAGAGAGAGAGAGAGAGAGAGGGGGAGAGAGAGGGAGAGAGAGAAACGGACAGACTCACTTAGACATGTACGCAGACAAAATACACGTACCCCCTGGCATACAAATAAAATAAATATGATGATGACAAAAATTTCTCATGTAAATATTTATGACTATTTTTATAATAAATAGTAATAGCATTTGTTAGGCCATTATCTTAATTATCTTATTTGAAAAAGGATATTGTTTATTGTTCGTGTACAATATCTTTTTTAGTATTTTGTTTGGTTTTCAACCTTTGGGTACTTTTGAAAACTGACGAATGAAAAATTAATTTATTATTTCTGGTTATTTTTAGTCAATTGAATCAATTTAAAGACCTTGGATTCATTCTCGACGCAAATTTCTCTGAGGATAGGCGTGTTAAATCGCTCTGCTAGAGGTACGAAGCAGAATCAGAGCAATGAGAGATTATCTGACATTTGATTAAGGAAGCCTGGAGAAAGTCTTAGAAGCCTGGAGAAAGTCTTAGAAAACTGGAGAAAGTCTTAGAAGACTGGAGAAAGTCTTAGAAGACTGGAGAAAGTCTTAGAAGACTGGAGAAAGTCTTAGAAGACTGGAGAAAGTCTTAGAAGACTGGAGAAAGTCTTAGAAGACTGGAGAAAGCCTATAGGTTAAATCCATCTAACTCTCTTTATTCTATCTATGAATCTGAATTGATTAATTATAAATATCTACTATTCTCTAAACACTCTACTTTTCTTAGAAATTCTATAACATCTGCTTCAACATCTAAAAATAGGTGGTCTGTTCTATCTAAACTTCTACATAAAACTTGTAAACTTGTAAACTTGATTGAAGCCTACAAGTCTTCATTGCGATACGACGATGTGATAACCGTTTGTTATATTTCAATTGTTATCAAATTGGCTCGCATTTATTGGGCAATATGGATGATTTTGATTAATAACCTTAATTTCAAATTAATAAAGTGAGTAATAACTGATTGGAAAAACGTTTTGTTCATTCATTTATTAATAAATCACATTGTTATTTGAATTTTTTCATTGTTGTTTTATTTATTCTTCATTTTATTTTAAAAATGCCTAAAAGTCCGTGGCGTATGTTATATTTTCTGCGGCTTTTTATATTTCTGAAAATTTTGTTGATATTAATCTTATGTATTAAAATAACCATAATATAAATATATATGTGGTTTTTGAGAAAAATTATGAAAATTAGTGGACTTCTCATACTTTGAATGAGGATGTATTGAAACAGTCCGGTTATGAAAAGAGGAAATTAATACAGATAATCCGACGGGGGCAGTTAAAGTTTTTTGACCACATCATGCGAAAAGACAAAATGGAAAATCTAACAACAACTGGAAAGATTGCAGGGAAAAGAGATCGCGGTCAACAACGAACAACGTTGGTGAAGTCCTTGTGTCACTTGCTGAATATCACCACATTTCAACTCTTAGATCGGGTTGTGTGGAGGTCGATGGTCGCCAATGTCCTGAAAGGATAAGGCACGAGAATGAATAAAGAAAGAATGATGTTTTTGGTTAATTAAATTGGTTATTTGTTGGAAACATATATATATATATATATATATATATATATATATATATAGAGAGAGAGAGAGAGAGAGAGAGAGAGTGAGTATATATTCTACATATATATGGTTGGAAATGACGACTTACATATATGTTGAAAGAATTGAAGGAGTAATGTTGTGCTAGGACCCTGAGAGTAATTTTATTGTAGGTAGGTGACTGACTACTATTCTTGCGACTTTTTACTTATTTTTCGTGATGTGTTTTTGCTTGTTTTCGCTTCACACCGACAAAACAAAATACTTTTTTTCGTCGTTGCCTTAAAATTTACCTTTTTGAACAATCTTTTTAATAATGTTTCAATTTTTTGTAAAATTTTGACTGGTTTCCAGTTTTTTTTATTTTGGTTATATAATTTTTGGATATTTCCTGATTTACTTTGTATATAAAATATGAATTTATAAATGATTACTGTTTGATATGTTGATCTAGTCATTATGATATGCTGTGAACTGCTAATGTTCTGTGAATCATTCCCCGAGAACTACTGAGGAGTGTTATATATTTGTTTGTTTAAAATTCAAATTTAAAAAAAATTGACTTTTTAAATGTTAACTTTCCGTCATTTTTCATTTTTGAATGATGTCAAATTGAAGAAACTGTTGTGATTTTCTTTTCTGATTAAAATCTCGAAATTGTTTGTAGATATGTACGATTAAGTCAAAAGTGTCACTAATATTTGGACCCCCTTCTTCCTCTTGAAGCGTGAAATCCTTTATAGATGGCCCCATATAAAACAAATTTGGGAAATGTATTTTAAATTAATACGTTTATGTTTTCTTTGTTTGTTAATTATTTATCGGTTGTCTTTGCCTTTCTTCTTTCCATTTTACGCCCATCAGCAAACGTGTTTCGCCGTATTTTCGCATCATGTTCGTGTTCTTTCTTTGTTATTACAAATATTACTTTTAACTCTAATTTTTTTCATTATTTCACTATTTTTAATCTAACTACTGCTTTCTATTTTGAAATAAACTCAGATTGTCCGGTTTTTGTTTTTTTTTATAATTAGTTTTATTTTTTTAAAAGTCTTACTCTTTTATTTTTAATTAATTAATAATAATATTAAATTATTAATTAATCAGTTTAATTTAATTTAATGTTAAATTTTTATTTAGCTTAGAATTCATTTATTTTATCTTTATTAGTCTTTAACATTTTTCTGATTTTTGGCTAATTTATTTTTAATATATTTCTGAATGAAATATATTATTAGATTAATTAATCAAGTTAAAATGAAAATATCAATATTTTAGTAAAAACAGGCAATGGTACAATGATGTTTATTGAATTTCTTCAACTGCAACTTAAATTTATTTTTATTGAAAAAATAAATTTTAAGTATTTCGTGGAGAGAGTTGACACCTGAGTACTCATTGTGTATATTACATTTATATTTTATAGTGATAAGTATATATAATATAATATAGTCATTGTATTTATTCAATTTATTTATCAAAATTGAAACATTTGGGGTCGTTGCAGTGATGCTTATCAATGAATTTCTTCACCTGAACGAAAATGTTTTCGTTTGTGGAAATTTCAGAATTTTTTCTGAGCGACGATTTTATTTTTGAAGATAAATTTTATTTAATTATTAAATTATGTAAAGATGCAACATGTAAAGTAATTTTGTCAATCTTTTGAATAAATATATGTCAGTAATCACTTTATACATTATATATCATTATTACAGATTAAGCATAATAAAACCACAAACTAAGGTCAATTTTAATTTTTCACATTGACGATTGTAAGTTAACCAGTCAACGATCATTTAATCTCCAGTATGCCCTTACTTATTACAGTAACTTATCAATATTCATTTAGTAAAGAGTGACACTGTAAATGAAACAATAATTCTGTGTGCCTGTCTGTCTCTGTGTGTCTGTCTGTGTCTGTATATGACCGTAAGCAGGGCATTAATCTTGGAGCGTTGTTTATCTCAGGTACATATTTGCCGCGGTCATTTTTCTCAACACTCGATGATGGCAAATATATGGCCGCCTGGCTACATTTGTTTGTTCATCATCCTAATGATGAAGATAGGCCAGATGTATGTCTTTATATATATGTGTGCGTGTATGTGTGCGTGTGTTTATGTGCCTGCGTGCGTTTGAATCAAGGATACTTAGGATTCCATGGTATGAGTGTGTATTTGTTTGGCAAACAAGACCGCCGTAAACGACTTTTGATTTGTAGGAGAATAATTTAGTCCGTGCCGTGTATTTATGTGTGGAACAAGTGCTTAAAAAAGTCATATTTTGGGAACATGTTCAATTAAAGATATTCTATTTATTATGAAGCCATGCGAAGCGCGGGGTTTTTTACAAAATGTTCCTTGATCAATCTATCAAACCTTGTATGTATAATTCATTCCACGCGGCGTATATACACAGCTGCACATATCATATGTACGCACAAGCATACATATATATTTAATATATGTTGTACTTGTACACCATCCACACACATTAAACTTGTCATACACCCTTGGCGTCTGATAGTCTTTGAATTTTTCATAGATAGTATTCGAATCTGGTTATCATGCAATAACGTGGCACTTTTACCGTCTGAGCTAACTAATCAATCAAATAATACTTAGTTGTGTTATTAAAATAATGCTAAATGACAATATATATATATATACGTATATATTTACATTTGTTCGTATGATATATATGCATATGTAAAAAACAAAATGTCAAGGTCAATTGCGTCCCATAGCCAAAGCGATGGCAGTTCCGGCTAGTTTGTGTTCATGGCTGTTCTGCAGGTCACTCATGACCACTGAAGCTGCCTGGCTTGAACGTTTCGGGTTGAATGCGCTGAAGATGGAGTAGGATTCAACTTTTTTACCACAAATTAACACCTTCAATTCGTTTCTGAAGCGGACACCTGTTAAACAATACAAATAAAAGTTGATGGAATGGTTGACTAAAGGCAACATGTTTGAGATGTTTCTGATTACTTCAAAAGTATCATTTTTATCGAATTCTTTGGATTCTTTGCAAATTTGAACCACGATAGTCGGGAAATATAGGACGAGGAAAGCGAATGAAACACTCAAGCACATTGCTGTCGTTTGGTAAAAGGACTTCTTGTCTCTCTTGCCACTTTCCTTCTCTGTATTATGAGCTTCTCCAGTCGAAAGAGAATTTTTGGCAGCACTCACTCTTCTACCAGAAAATGATTTCGGCTTCGTTTTACTCGATTTCAATAAATGATGTATTATAAATCCATTGAAAATCAGAATGCAGAAAAAAGGTAACAGGCTCACAGTAACGAGAACTATGTACGGTCTAATTGTATCTTCAAACGTTCTATAACGACTGACCTTCGTGCACTTAGCTTTGCTCTCCACGTATCCGCGAGTCCAAAAAACGTGTGCATTCTTGAAAACGGCCAACAAGGTGCAGATAAAAACCGTTAACAGCGCTTTTCTCGGCGTGCAGAAGAGTTGTTTCTTGAATGGAAAGCACACGGCGATGAATCTGTCCATCGTGAATGCAACTAAAATCCACACAGAAATATCTCCGGTTGAGTAGTTAATGAATCTATGCAAGCAACACAACCACGTTGGGTACTGAATGTTATACCACGAAGTCCACTCATTTGGAACGCTTGTCACCAACGTTAAAATATCGAAAATTGCGATGGCGGGCAGATAAACGCATGCAGACGACGCCAAAAACGGCTTCTTCCTCATGACTACGATCGTTAAAATGTTGCCAACCAAGCCGATCGGGGATATCAAAATTGTGAAGATTTTTAGCGCTGTGATCAGCGGAGTGTCATAGGGCGATACTGAACTTTTTTTACTTGGGGATGTGGTTAGAAATGTTGGCGATAACGACGTCAGAAATGGAGATGCGTAATCTGTGGAATGGTTCGACGGCTGGGTGGTTTCGTTTGAGCGGAATAGATCTAAGAATGGTGTGGATAATTCAAATCCTGATGGCATTGAGATGCTCATTTTGAGGATGTCTTCTTAAAAATTTTCATCCAAACGTACGCAAGTATGTATGTGAGAAGGTTTATTCACGATTTTTCTCCTGTTAACAACAAATACGAACTTTAATAAAATTATCTTTAAAATATTTTTAAAAATAAATTAAAATGATTTTTAAAATTATTGTAAAAATACACATAATTATAGTTTAAGCTAAAAATTTGAAACAAAAGGCATGACATCAATAGCTTCATCTAATTCTCGCTTTAATTGCAGATATATTTATAAAAAAATTAATTGCCACAATTTCTGTTTGTGTTTGCCAACAATTAACTTATTTTCTCAACAAGCAAGTGTCCACACGTTATTACGTGAGAAAGCAAACAAATTACACACACACGCACATTTATACGTACATACACAAACGCCATACATACATGAACACAAACATAATTACGTACATGCATACTTTTTTTTACATACACAAACTCATACATTATTACATACACAGATACACACACATACAAACATGAATTCGAGAGAGAGAGAGAGAGAAAGCAAACGAGAAATGTTAATAGACTAAAGTAAAATACGTAGATAACTTACTACCACAAGAAAATAGTGAAAAAATGTTCGCTGTTGTTACCCTGATCTAAAACAATAACGTTTTTATACACTTAGGTTACTGGGTCTTGAGTTATTTCAGCGTAATCATTTGTATGGCACAAACATATACACACCACACACACACCACACAAATAAATATACATTTATTCAAAATGCTTCTCAGGTGCCATAAAAGCTTCTTAAGGACAACATATAATCTAAAATCTACCTATCATACCAAAGAACTTTTCACTAAGTCTAAAATTTTATCAATTCATCAAATCGATTTATGTTTTCAGACCATATTTACATTTAAATTTATAAAAAATTCTTTTGCCTCCATGTTTCTCGGCACTCCTCAAATACTCAAATCCAATTAAATTAGCTATCACGAGACAAAACAATACTATCTACATTAATACATCTAGATTAAACTTAATAAATAATTGTCTATTTCGCACTGCACCTGAGATCTGGAACAACATTAAAACTTAGACAGTCTAACATTGTTTAAAAAAAAGCTAAAATTTTGCTAGTACCTCTCTGAATCCCTCTGAATCCATCCACTGATGAACCATCTGACAGGGCACTTTCTATTTGTATGCTGACGGTTTAATCTTTGTTAACTGGTCGCTTGGTTGAATGTCTTCTACTTTGTTGTGGTTTAGCAAACAATAAAAACAACACTGAATACATTTTCTATTGTTATGTATATTTCTGCTGGTATGTGCGTGAATATGCGTGTGTATTTGTGCCTATGCGTGCCTACCTATGAGTCTCAAAAACACTAGAGTTTAGACTAAACACAACTCGTTTGAAGCTCGCGTTTAAAAGTAACGACCAAATAAAATGAGGCATCTTGTATCTTGTGGTTTTATGCATTTTTAATCATCATAACCATCGTTCTAATAGTAAAGATACCGTGCGGTACTGGTATTAATGTTTGTATGGTCGTCAAATTTAACTCTAAATTGGTATTTTGGGTTTCATTTTGTTTTCATAGTTGTCATTTTTACTGCTCCTATCAACTTCATCATCGTCGTAGATACTTTTTGTGTTTTTGAATACGTTTGATTAACAGTTTCATCTCTATCTGAGTGTTAGGCGGGCTTTTTGTATTCATAATCGTCCTCTTTATCACCGTCTTCATCTTCATCGTCATCTTTACTATTGGAAATGTTATTCGCTATTCATAGGTGTGCATATAATCAGAATAATCATCATGTACACATTTATAACCCGCCATTATCTCTATAACGTTTGCCATGAGGTAATTTTTGTATTCTTACTCTTTTCGTATTTGTACTCTTTTGAACGCCATCATCATCATTGTTATTGGCGGAATTTTTTCATTTTAATCGTCTCCACCAGCTTTATCGTAAAAGTATAACGAGGTTTTTGTGTGTTACATTATCTTCATCTTCGTCTTCTTCATCAACATCAGCTTCTTCTTCTTCGTCATCATCATCTTCTTCTTCTTCGTCATCATCTTCTTCGTCACCATCATCATCTTGTTCTTCATCTTTATCATAATCGTCGTCGTCGACGTAGTA